GCTCCTTATGGTACCAGAGTTGTTATTGTTGTTATGTGCCGTAGAGTCGGTTCCTACTCAAAACGAACCTGTATAGGGTTTCTAAGGCTGTAAATCTTTACGGGAGAAAAAAAGACTCAGCTTTCTCATGCGGAACAGCTAGTAGTTTCGAAGTGCTGACTTTGCGGTTCGTAGCCCGATTCATAACCACTATGCTACCAGAGCTCTTATGATACCACAGTTAGCCCAACCCAAAACTCACTCAGTGAGTCTGCCAGTTAGCCCCTCCCAAGCAAGCCCCACCGTGCTGACCCGCCAAAGTTAGCCTCTCCTAAAATGCTTGTGAAATGTAGCCAGAGGTGCTCCTTGAAGGCCAGGACGGCCAAACTTCGTCTCTCATACTTCGGACATATTGTCAGGAGGGACCAGTCACTGGAGAAGGATATCATGTTTAGTAAGGTGGAGGGACAGAGAAAGGAGGAACACCCCCAGCAAGATGGATTGGCAAAGTGGAAGCATCAATGGGCTCAAGTGTGACAACAATTGTGAGATTGGCCCTGGATCAGGCAGTGTTTTTCACTCTGTTGTGCATAGGGTCGCTATGAGTCAGTACGGACTAGATGGTACTTTACAACAACAAGCTCCACCCCCAGAAAGCACGTCAAAGTTCGCCCCTCCCAAACTCCATGCCCAGCAAGCCCCATAAAAGCCTTTAGCCTGTGTGGGAGAGTGTTTTTGACTCTGGTTGGAAAGCCCCTTCCAGGATAGTCTTAAATAAACCTGTCTTTGCTGTTGAGCCGCACTTTCTCTGTTTCTTGTCTCCCTTTCTCTTGTTGGGCACTAACACAAAGTAAGGTAATCCAACAGAACGTGGAAAATATTAAATATCATTATTTTTTCATGTAAAATTTTGCCCAACAGTTATAGCAGTACATCAAGAAGGGGCTATGAACATCAGAAAGTTATTTAGCTGTTTTTATTGACTGTGCAAAGTCATTTGACTATATGGAGCATAACACACTGTAGATAAAATTGTGAAGAATAGGAATTCCAGAACACTTCATTGTATTCATGTAGAACCTGTACATAGACCCAGAGGCACTCATACGAACAGAATAAGGGATATCACATGCTTTAAAATCAGGAAAGGTGTGTTACAGGGCTGTCTCTTTTCACCATATTTATTCAATATGTATACTGAAAAAATAATTGGATAAACTGGGCTATAT